TTGTGAGTTCTAGTTCTGCCTTAGGCATGAAAGCCAACTGGGTGACTCTGGGCCAATCATTAGGACATTGTGAGTTCTAGTCCTGCCTTAGGCATGAATACCAACTGGGTGAGTTTGGACCAATCATTAGGACATTGTGAGTTCTAGTCCTGTCTTAGGCATGAAAGCCAATTGGTTGACTTTTGGACAGTCCCACTCTCTCAGCCCAACCCACCTCACACGGTTACTGTTGTAGGGAAAATAGGAAGAAGAAGGAGTATTAGGTATGTTCCAATGGTGGGATTCAAATTATTTTTTTTTACTACCGGTTCTGTGGGCGTGGCTTGGTTGGTATGGCAGGGGAAGGTTACTGTAAAATCTCCAGTCAGAGGTGGCATTTGCTGGTTCTCTGAACTACTCAAAATTTCCGCTACTGGTTCTCCAGAACTGGTCAGAACCTGCTGAATACCATCTCTGGTATGTTCTCAGCCTTGAGTTATTACAAAAATAATAAAAGTCAGATATAAACAAAGGCGATAAAGAAAGAAAAAGATCTTTGTAGTAATTGGAAACCATTCTAATCCTAACCAGTCAGCCAAAGATTAATAGGTATAGTTTTCCTCTGTCCTCTCATGTTTATATTCTGTCATTTATTACACAGAGCTTTGAAAGTTTTGAACATCTCCTCTTTGCTGGTTCTTCACACCTGATTTTACCCCATTATAGATGTTTTTATTCAACACGGTCCCAACCAAACCGACACTATCATTGTTCTTCATGTGCTATTTCTACCTTATTAGAGATAGGTGGTCCCCATTATATCTCACTTTAAGATTACCTTGGGCATCACTGTATCTTGTGCCACACAGCGACTCTCCAAACACATTTTCCCTGGCCCACAGGGTGTCCCATCAGCCCAGGGCAAGCTACCGTTTTTGGTGTGGCAAAGTTGCTCTCCAGTTTCCAACTTGCACCAAAGCTGGGAGCAGACGTCTTCCTGGGTGGCATTTGGGCAGTGTTGGAACTCTTTGCCAAATATTTGCTGACACTGCTGGTCTAAGTTGTACAGAGGTATTTGGCCTGGGAGGTCAGTCGGGAGGGCGATAGGTTGGGCTGGTTCATCAAGCAGACAGTTACCTGATGAAAGAGAAAAAGTAGAAAGATAGTCTCAAAGAATGTATTGTCCTTACAGCCAAATTTCCACAAGGCTCTTAAAAAAGTCCATAAAGCAGAAATTGGTTGTAGCTATTGTCTTGATCTTTCTGCTCTAAAACAAACAAACAAATAAACACCCATCCATCCATCTATCCATCCATCCATCCATCCATCCATCCATGAGGGGCTGTCACAAGGAAGAGTGGGTCAACTTATTTTCCAAAGCATCAGAGGGCAGGACAGGAAGCAATGGATGGGAACTAATCAAGGAGAGAAGCAACCTGGAATTAAGGAGAATTTCCTAACAGTGAAGACAATTAACCAGTGGAACAACTTGCCTCCAGAAATTGTGAATGCACCAACACTGGAGGTTTTTAAGAAGAGACTGGATAATCACTTGTTTGAAATTATATAGAGTCTCTTCAGTGGTGGGATTTAAATTATTTCACTACCAGTTCTGTGGGCGTGGCTTGGTGAGCGTGGCTTAGTGGGTGTGACAGGAAAAGCATACTGCAAAATCCCATTCCCTCCCTACTCCACTAACCTGCTTTCCAGATCCATTCTCCTGTGCAGGGCAAGCAAAGAAGACCCAGCCAATCAGCTGGGACTTGGGAGGCAGAGAAGAGATGGAGGTGGGGCCAGTCAGAGGTGGTATTTGCCAGTTCTCCAAACTACTCAAAATTTCCGCTACCGATGGGATTCAAATAACTTAACAACTGGTTCTCTGCCCTAATGATTTCTTCCAACAACCAGTTCACCAAACTGCTCAGAAAGTTAACAACCGGTTCTCCGGAAGTTGTGCGAACTGGCTGAATCCCACCAGTGCTAGTTCTCCAGAACAGGTCAGAACCTGCTAAATGCCACCTCTGAGTGTCTTACTTGAGCAGAAGACCTCAAAGTCTCTCCCAGATCTATTTTGATTCTGATCCATCCATTTATCTCAAGGAGCCTTCAATCTGATGTAAAGTATTGTAACATATTTTATCAGGGTAGCAGAACCATAACAAAGATCCAAACCCCCCCCCCCCCCATTTTTAAGAGTTTATGAATTAAGTTTCTAAAAGTTCTGCACCTTGGTTCCCTTGTTTGAGTGCCCATTTTTTGAGAAGTAAGTTGCATGGAAGCTTAGAATGTTTAAAAGTAGACTTTTATGAAACTTTGCAGCAGAAGAAAATAATATAATTAAAAGACAGTCGGTATCAATTTGCGTTAGAGACAGGTGTTATCTGTTAAGTGTTCTTTGAAATGAACTTTGAATTGTTCTAATGAAATGAACATTGAATTGGCATCAATTTACGTTAGATACAGCAAAATCTGTAAAGTGTTGTTTGAAATGAAGGTAACAAATGACTAAGTTTTTGATCAGTGCTATTTCTCCAAAAACACATTTAATTTATTGGAGGCTTAAAGCGATCAGCTCTGCTCATACAAAACCGACTTACAAAAATACAGTCCAGCTTGGCATTCATCATCAATGCAGAGTTGGTTCCAAAAATGGTGCTTTGAAACCTGATTCAGTTTGCAAAGGGACAAACATTGTCAAACAAGCTCAGCATGATTATTTATATACTAGCTCGATACCCGTGCTTTGCTACAAAACTATGTGATCGGGCTTAGTTTTTGGGGAGGAAACTAAGGGGGAAAAAGTCTGCCTCTGCCTATCAGCATCCTATGGCTAGCGTCCTGTCAGTGTTTGAGACAGTTGAGGGCTGTTTGGGAACTGAAACAGTATTTGCTGTGTGAGCAAGAAGGAGACAGCAAGGAGTCTGGGCGTGGCTTAGCTCAACTATTTTGTACTAAAGCTGGTTGCTGCTCTGAAATAGAAACTCCTCTCCTCTGCTTGTATTTTGCATCTTGTCGTCTATATATATATAGAAGATATACAAGGATAAGTACCGTGTCCTCCATCCAGGAATTCTGTGATATACATGGCACTGCAGGGGGACCAAGGCAGAGTCTTGTTTAGGTGAACAAACAATGGAGCCATCATGTGATGCTTTCCTAATGTCCCAAAGAGCCTTTCGCAGCTCTTGGAGTCATCATGAGGCATGCTGAGCACGTGCCCTGCAAAGAAAGAGAAATAGGTGATTAGAACACAGAACAACAGGGTTGGAAGGAACTTCTAGTCCAACCCCTTGCTCAAAGAGGAGAGACCCTGTTCCATTCCAGACAAATGGCTGTCCAATTTCTTTCCTGAAAGAGAAGGAGTACCCATAACTTCTGAAGGCACAGATTCCATTGATCAATTGCTCTCAAAATCAGGAATTTTCTCCTAGGTTCTTCTTCTTCGTTGTCTTTTTAATGTTCTTCCACCCATTATTTCTTGTCCTGCTCCCAGGTGTTCTGGACAATAGCTCAACCCACTCTTCTTTGTGATAGCCCTTTAAATACTGGAAGACTGCTATCATATCACCATTAGCCCTTCTCTTCATGAGACTAGACATAAATAGTTCCATCAATCGTTCCCCATACAGTTTATCTTCCAGATTCCTTATCATCTGTGCTGCTCTTCTCTGTACTCTTTCCAGGGTCTCTCTATCATCATCTTTTTCTGACGCAGGATTCAGAGACTAATAAGCAAAAATGGGCACCTGAAACATGCACTCATATCTTTCTGGCATCAAACTGCCATTATAATAAAAGCTATATGTGTTTTATATTTATGTTGGTTTTGAAACCCAGAGGCAGCTGCTTTCCCGGAAAATTGTAAATCATGATGTTGGAGCTACAACACATATATTCTCCTCGGAATATAGATAACTAGGACTATCTAGCCATGTCTGATTTTTTTGAATATATATATATATATATATATAGACACAAAGTTTAATGTTATTTTGGAATATTATGTCATTTTGGTGCCAACGGGTTCTCCACATTTCATCATAGAAAGCCATTTAACCTATCATCTTTTAGAAGAGAATATTTATAGCTTAGGGCTGAACTGTGGAGTCTTTGATTCTCTCTGAGCTTGGTGGTTTAGTTGGGTAATGAAATGTCTGCAAGAAAACCAGCTAGCTCAGAGAGTAGCAACAACCCTACCCATCATCCTTTCTTTAACGGCCAATCTTGAGAATGCAACCTACAATATGTAGGGCTAGCAAGGTAGATGTTGGTTCTGATACAATGGCAGCCTGCCCATCAAGATAGGCATGGCAGCTACCTAGTTCGTGGGCCAAGGTGTAGGCTGCTTGGAGACCCTCATCTTCTATCACAGAACAGCTTTTATTTGGGTCACACATGGTGCCAGTCTCAGCCACTCCAAGGGTTCTGCAGGTTTGATGTCCACAGAAATCCTGTGATTGAGAAAGATAAGATGGAAATGATATGAATGTTGAGTTTCAAAGGAACCATCCTCCATTCTTCTACCAGACCATCTTCAAGGTGTCCCACAGGGGAAACCAGCCAACCTTCACCTAAGTACCTGTCTTGTCAGCAGGATTGCGGTGTCATAGTGTTCTGGGTGACGATCACTTGGAGGGTTGAAGAACTGTTGCCAATTACAGAAGTTCCTCAGTATCAGACCGCCATTGTCAGATACTTCTGGTCCATCCTTTTCATCTACCACTACCAAGACCTTCACCACCACCAGGTTGATAGAATTCTTCAGGCTGGGGTGCTTGTAGATTTGAGCAGCCACAGACATTAAGGTGAGGATATGATTCTGAAAAACCCACCAAAGATATGGAATTAACCAAGAGGTATTTCCAAGAAATAGAACTTTAAGGTTATTATTTCCTTCAAGAATTTTCCCATTGGAGTTTCGTTTGCACTGCATGTGACACATTGCAGTGCTTAGAAAGCATGTGATGAGCCGTATGGTAGAACAGTCTTTCTCAACTTTGGCCACTTGGAAGATAGGTGGACTTCAACTCCCAGAATTCCTAGCCAGTCCTGCTGGCTGGGGAATTCTGGGAGTTCATCTATCTTCCAGTGGCCAAAATTGAGAATCACTGCAGAAGAGTAACTGCTCTGTGGAGATCTCATAACAAACACCTCCCAATTCTGAGAAAAGTAGGAGGCAATAAAAGCATTGTAGAAAGTTAGCACCCACCCCACTCCTAGAATGAAATTTTTTGAGAAATATTAAAAAGGCAGAATATTATATTTCCCTGAATGAGAAATGGAGAAACATGCTTTTGGAAAGCAGCCCGCACCTTTCGTAATAGCCTTCAGCAGATGTCAGCACTTAAGAAATAAAGAGATAACTCGCTCTATTCATAAGCAAATACCCTCACCCAAGATCTAACAAGGATAGGATTAGCCGTCAGCCACAATAAGAATTGCCCAAAGCCCCTTCATTGCATTATCTCAGTTGCACCACCCCCAGCAGTTCAAACTTCAATCAAACTTAGCCCAGACAAACTCCTAGGATTTGTTCATGGCCCCAATGGCAGTCTGACAACAGCCAATAGAATATATGTTCTTGCACAGGAACAGGAAGCTCAAGTGCAAAGCCCAAAAGTAGGTATAAAGACCACCCATTCTCAACTCCATTTTGTCAGCTGCCCAGAACCACAAATCCATGTGGTTCTGCTTCATCAATGAACCATCTTTCCAATCAGCCTCCATGTTTCCAATGTCTTTCTCCCGGCTTGAAACAGAACCAAATGGATATTTCTTCCAACAATATATACATTTTTCTTGCTAATTCTGGTTGCCTCAGTGCTCGTTTTCAGCACAATTTGCTGCCAACACAACAAAGTTTAAATGGTGCTTTGGATAGAGAACCAATCTATCCTTTCATAACCACCAAGACTGCAAAACAAAGCAGAGGAGAGACTTATATCTCTGGTTGATGTCTTGGCCAGTTGCCCGCTCTCTAATTAATTTCGTAAGGCAATCATGATGAAATCTCATTTAATTAAGGCTATAATCCCTAAATCAGTTTCACTACACTGAGAAAAAAACCTCCCTAGCTTCATTTCCCAGGCTATGTTGGTAGCGCAAACACAACCCTGCCATGCCCCCAACATCTCACAGACAAAGCTGTTTGTATTACAGCTTGAAAACATATTATATAGCACTAAGCTGAAGCAGAAGTGATTGAAAGAAAAATCAGTAACAACAATCCAAATAAATAATGTTAGGAAACTGGACCCATGTGCGCCTTGAGTGAAGCAAATGTCACACTGTCGGGTTATAACCCATGTTGACCTGTTCATATTTTGTTTTGTTTTAACAACCCTTCTGCCATCAGAGTATAATTATGAAATATAATCTTGTTTCCAAAGAGTTCTATTGTTCTTGCTGATAGCCCATCAATTGAACATTCTTAATCATGTACACATATTGTTACAGATAGTGTCCCTTTTATCAGTAAATTGGATTAACCCATGCTAATTCCAGCCATTGCAGGTTTTATACTTGTACTGCAGAGCACCTAATAATCCAATAAAAAGACCACACTTTTGCATCCAGTTATAATAATAAAAGATGTTGAGGCTCTATAAAGAGTGGAGAGAAGAGCAACCAAGATGATTAAGGGACTGGAGGTTAAAACATAAGAAGAACGGTTACAGGAACTGGACATGGCTAGTCTAGTGAAGAGAAGCACCAGGGGAGACAGGATAGCAGTCTTCCAATATTTGAGGGGCTGCCACAGAGAGGAAGGGATCAAGCTATTTTCCAAAGCACCTGAAGGCCACACAAGGAATAATGGATGGAAACTGAACAAGGAGAGATTCAACCTGAAAATAAGGAGAAATGTTCTGACAGTGAGAGCAATCAACGAATAGAATAGTTTTGCCTTCAGAAGTTGTGGGAGCGCCATCACTTGAGACTTTCAAGAAGAGACTGGACTGCCCTCTGTCAGAAATAGTGTAGGGTCTGCTTGGGTGGGGGGTTGGACTAGATGACCTACAAGTTCCCTTTCAACTCTATTAATCTGTATCCTTGGTTAGAATTAAGCAAATCCTGGATATTGTAGGTCTCCAGAGAACCGATCTACCAAATCAAATCAGCAACGGACTTCAGACAGCTTATTTGTGACAATCGCCAAAGCTTCTTACAGAGAACGCTATAAAAAGCACTGAATTGAGCACAGTGTGTGGGAGTCACATGACATGATGTTCTTGTGAATGGAACACATTTTTGCCCAGGATATTTGCGTGAGCTCTCAAGAGTTTACATCACTGAACCTTCTGTTTGGGTGAAGAAGATGGAAGTGAGATGACTTCATAGGTCAGACACTTCAGCTATGTATAAGGTTGATGTTAACATCTTATCAGTGAGTCAGAATTCCAGCTTGGCTTGGCACAAACTCATGAGACAAAAATGCAATCGGTTACACAACAGATAAAAATATTGAGAAACAGCAAGCAACCACTTTATTCTCTGGCACCGTTTGTCCTTGAGATTTTTGGTGATTCTTAAATTAAGCTGCACAAATGAGATTTAAGGGCAACTTAAAAAAAAGTCTCCTCTGCTAATTGTTCAACCTTTAACCTATCAAAGCCAAATAGCCCATCTGGTAGATTAACCAAACAATGTAATTGCTTTTCTTTTTTTTTTAAATGAACTAGTATTTCTTTGTTTGCTGAAAATGGGTTGTAATTATATATATATAATAAATGCATTGCTGCGTTGAGCCCCATAAAAGATGGAAATATTCTGATCAGAGGGTAAACAGACAATCTTGTCGTCTGAACAGTGAAAAAGACAATGCACTTCCCTGATTGACAACACACAAACTGAAGAAAAGCAGCAAAAGTAGAACTTTATACAGGGTAGGAACAGTTGATTGGTTCTTGGATAACAATAGCTATAGTACCTAGACTTATACATCTTTTCACAGTGCTTTACAGCCTTCTCTAAGAAGTTTACAGAGTCAGCATATTTCCCCCAACAATCTGGGTCCTCATTTTACTGACCTCGGAAGGATGGAAGGCTAAGTCACTGCCAAATTTCAGGCAGCTGGTAGTCAGCAGAAGTAGCCTACAGTACTGCGTTCTAACCATTGTGCCACCATGGCTCTTTAATAATGTTATTAGAACATAACACTGCATTCTAATCATTCTTGGTTGACGGCAGCCAGTACCCAAACCACATGAAATATTTTAGGGAGAGAGAAAGAAAAGAAAGCATGCATCCCTGATGTATTTGAGGAAAGAAAAATATAGATCCAAACCAGATGCCTTTTTTGTTTTGGTTTTAAGGCAACTCAACTTGGAAAATGCATTCTGGGCAAGCCAAACTATGACATAGGAAGTAGCTTTATGAGTTTGTCATCTAATAATTGGGCTTTTTTTTTTTTTAAAAAAAACAAACTTTTATGACTGATGATGCTCACTGTTTTACTGAAAACCACAGTTGTTCTCAAAATTGGTCCCCAAAGAGTCTTTATTTGAGTACAGGTGTTAGATTTAGCGTTGGTATGAAACACCATCTGGTTTGGATCTATATTTTTCTTTCCCCAAATACACCAGAGATGGATGCTTTCTTCTCTCTCTCTCTCTCTCCCTCCCTCCCCCCCCCTCAAACATTTCATGTGGTTTGGGTACTGGCTGCCATCAACCAAGAATGATTAGAATGCAATGTTACATTCTAATAACGTTATTGAAGAGCCATGGTGGCACAATGGTTAGAATACAGTACTGCAGGTTTGCCGTAGAGAGTTGGCCATGGCAAGTTGGCTACAGTGAGTTGGCTATGATGAGTTGTCCTGAGGCAGAGAGCCTGCTGGTACTAAGGGAAGTGTCTGCAGTCTGTGCAATCACAACCCAATCTGCATTTGACTTGCATAGCAAAGTAGCTTCCCAAGTCTAATGAAAAGAAGGACTAGGGGTGATATGGATACCAGTGTTCCAATATTTGAGGGGCTTCTACAAAGATGAGAGGTTCAAATTATTTTCCCAAAAACCAAAAGGCAAGACAAGAAGCAATGGATGGAAACTAACCAAGAAGAGAAAGCAATCTAGAACTAAGGAGAAATTTCCTAACTATGAGAGCCATCATCCAATGGAACAGCTTGCCTTCAAGGTGCTCCATCACTGGAGGCTTTCAAAAGGAGACTACAAAACCATTTTATCTGGTGTCCTACTCAAGCAGCGGGTTGGACTAAAAGACCTCCAAGGTCCCTTCCAACTCTATTATTCTAGGAAACACTGTATTTCTATGACTTACTTACAGTTACCACCATTTTCTAAGTTTGCACAATATATTGAGCTATAAATTAACCATGATTTGATGCAACATAGTTTGCTAAAATGTGTCTGGCCAGATAATGGTTTAGCTTCTATATGAAGAAATCCTGAAATAAAGGATTGAAACACTTCTTCAGAGAAAGGATAAGTATCTTCATAGTCAACAAAATGGCTATTTTATCTTCTTTGACCATACTTCTATCCAGGCTAGCCGATGGGAGCCAAGTCGGCAAGCTATTTTTTTTTTTCACTTAAAAGGAAGTTAATGTCCCGTCCCCCCATACTTCCTGATCTCCTTGTCAGGCTGAAAATGACCTAATTTCTCAGCCTTTCCTGATGCTACAGATGAAATGGAGGAAGATGGAAAGGAGACTTAGAAAGAAAGAAAGAAAGAAAGAAAGAAAGAAAGAAAGAAAGAAAGAAAGAAAGAAAGAAGGAAGGAAGGAAGGAAGGAAGGAAGGAAGGAAGGAAGGAAGGAAGGAAGGAAGGAAAGAAAGAAAGAAAGAAAGAAAGAAAGAAA